CACGTACTCACATGCGGTGATCGCAATCGACGAAGACACGCCCTTAGGAGTTTCGCGGCTCTACGATGACATAATGACACGCTCCGGGAGCTCAGATTCGTCCTACGACCCGGAATACTTCATCCCTTGGATTGAGGAGTGCCTCCGACAGAGGTTCCCCTGCCTAACCGAGAACCGACTATGTCCTAGGGAGTTCCACTGTGCCACAACCAGCAATCCACGGTGTTCTGATTTCCCCACTTCGGACCACACCCACTACTTTACTTCCCCCGGTTTTGTCGTTATCTCCACTAATTTCCCTCCCTTCCGTCTTCTTATCCCATATCATCAACTCAGAGTCGTCCCGTGGAAGGCCATAGCCCCATACTGGCCCCGCACGCCCTGCGGAAATTGTCGGCGACGCGGCAACCAGGGAGCCCCGGAAGCCTGAAGGCCTAACCCGAACGTACGACGACCGGCGCCACATGGCCACATCAGACGGTCTGACTCATCAGAACCGCACCCACCCCGGATAGACCTCTCGACGAACCGCCGTCCTCAACACAGATGGATCGAACGGCCATAAATGAGCCGCGCATGCCATCTCCCTTATGACCAGAAGTGGTCCGCCCTCTCTGCCAAATTTCACCCGTGCCCCCGAAAAACTCTGCCACAGGAGATCTCAGTTCCGACCTGGGAGTCCACCCCCCCCCACGCTCCCAAAAATCCTTGGCATACCCCTTTTCGCACTTCCAGGCCCACACCCCACTCCGATCAGGAAGTCGCGCTGGGCGTGAGGTTGGGCGTCACATCCTCCTTCAGTTTCTCCAAAGTCTCCTCCTCGTTCTTTCCCAACCATTCCTCTCTCATGAAGGCTGCGCAGCTGTAAGCGATTTTGTCCACTTCGTCTTTCTGACCCAGCAGTGAGTAGGGTATCTCGCAAATCATCTCCCATGATTTCCACTTGAGGCCCTCCCTCAGCTTGGCCTGCTGGTCATAAGGGACAAAACCTGGTCTCAGATCGTTGTAGCCCCTTTCCCCGCTGTCGTCGTCCCAGAACGCATTCAGACTATCGTGCTCAATCACTTTCATGGCCGGGGGCGATCGTCTGAGATGTTTGTTCTTGCAAAGTTGGGACGCTTGTGCGAGCCTTGTGCTGTGATGATTCCCAGTGAGGACCGGACTGCGATCTGCCATTCCTTTTTGTCCGAGTTGTAGCGGAAGGGCAAGAAAGGGATCGTGGGGGAGAGGGTGCGTGCATCGAGTGTGGCAGCCACTGTCAGATCCTGCGGATTGTGGTCTGCAATCTTGTTGAGGGAGTGAGTCTCTTCTCCCAGCTCTAGATTTTGTTCCTGCAGGTAGTTTGTTTCTCTCAAGAATGGCTATCTGTCTTCTTTTTTCCTTCTTGAGGTTGCTCTTTTGCCTCAACAGATTGTTTGCTAGGGAGATCATTTTCATTTCCTCTATTTCTTGCTCCTCAATGCTGCTGGATTTTGGCGGTGCTTCCTCTCCTGGGGTCCCTGTTGCCATGTCTTCACGCAGGTATGAGCTGGGCCACTCGTTGGGTTGCGCATTTGATTGGGGGACTGTGTGTGGGGTTCCTGTGCTGGTATCAGTGTCCATTGCATCATTGTGCTGATCAGCGTATTGCTGGGCTAAGAATTCCGAAAAGGAGTTCTCAAATGGCAGCGCTTCATATCGATTGGGGGAGGTTGGGAATCCACCTGCGACATTGGTGCTCGACTCTTTCTTCAAAATGCTGATGTGCCTGGCGTGTGCCAGTCTGATTTCCAAGTTCAAGTCTCTGCGTGCCTTGTATTCTTCCAGCCATTCCAAGGTGTTGTCTGAATCTTCTTCTGGCGATGCGTCCTGGCTGGTTGCTGCTGATTTCGTTGCTGGTGCTATGTCCAGGTGCATTTCGCTTTCCCTGAGCTCAATTGAAATGCTGTTGTCTCTGCTTTTCTTGATGTCTTGAGCTTTGCCTGTTTCTTTGGGGTCTTCATCTTCGTTTCTGCTCTTCCTTTTCGCTGGTCCTGAAGTCTTCTTCTTGCCTTTGTCTGTGCTTTTTGTGGACTTGTATATATTTTTTGCTTTGCCTGCTTTCTGTGTTTGAGTGACGTCTGCCCTCCCGCCTCCCCCGTGCCCTCCACCCATTGTCCTTTGTTGTTGCTTGATGTCTTATGCTTGGGGTAGCTTTCTGTACTTGCACTTTTCGGTTGTCTTTCCTTGTTTTGTGCATTATGTATGGTCTGCCCTCCCACCTCCCCTGTGCCCCCCCGTCCTTGTGCCTTTCTGCAGTTTGTTGTCGTTGCCTCCTTGCCTTTTGCCTTATCATGCTTCCTTTCCCCGTCCTGTGGTGCTTGTTTGATCGTGTGTGTTCCAGTTCGCCCGCAAAGAGCAGAGGGAGCATGAGTGCTCGTGTAGTCCGGCATAGTCATTCCCCACCTTACAGTATAGGTTCCATCTGCACCACGCCTACGAGTTCTTGTTCCTGAGCTTGCTCGTGTAGTCCGGCATAGTCATTCCCCACCTCCGAGTACTGGATGCGTCTGCACCACGCCTACAAGTTTTCATTTTTAAGGTGCGCCGATATATTATTTTGGAGCTTGAGTATGATGCGGGTTCCGTGTCATACCGTAATCATGTCATATCATGCCGTTTCCCGCTGCTGTTTCCCTGGCAGTTGTCTGTGCAGCCACTTCTATGGGAGTTGTCTGTGCAGCCACTTCTATGGGAGTTGTCTATGCAGCCACTTCTATGGGAGTTGTCTGTGCACGTTGAGGAGAGAGAGAGAGAGAGAGAGTAGTCCGGCATAGTCATTCCCCACCTCCGAAGTACCGGATGCGTCTGCACCACGCCTACAAGTTTTCATTTTTAAGGTGCGCCGATATATTATTTTGGAGCTCGAGTATGATGCGGTAATCATGTCATATTATGCGGGTTACACACTTACACACACACACACACACACTCTCTCTCTCTCCTCAACCATGCTCCTGCCCCCCCCCTTCCTCTCTCTCTCTTCCCCACCACCTGTCCCCGGTCACCACCTCTATATGTGGGCGAGTGTCTGTGCCGTGTTACCTTGATGGATCACTTCACCCCGCCACTGTTTCCCGCTGCTGTTTCCTTGGCAGTTGTCTGTGCAGCCACTTCTATGGGAGTTGTCTGTCAAGCCACTTCTATGGGAGTTGTCTGTGCACGTTGAGGAGAGAGAGAGAGAGAGAGTAGTCCGGCATAGTCATTCCCCACCTCCGAGTACCGGATGCGTCTGCACCACGCCTACAAGTTTTCATTTTTAAGGTGCGCCGATATATTATTTTGGAGCTTGAGTATGATGCGGGTTCCGTATCATACCGTAATCATGTCATATTATGCGGGCTACACACTTACACACACACACACACACACACACACACACACACACACACACACACTCACTCTCTCTCTCTCTCTTCTCAACCATGCTCCTGCCGTATCATACCGTAATCATGTCATATTATGCGGGTTACACACACACACACACACACACACACACACACACACACACACACTCTCTCTCTCTCTCTCTCTCTCTCTCTCTCTCTCTCTCTCTCTCTCTCTCNCACACACACACACACACACACACACACTCTCTCTCTCTCTCTCTCTCTCTCTCTCTCTCTCTCTCTCTCTCTCTCTCTCTCTCTCTCTCTCTCTTCCCCACCACCTGTCCCCGGTCACCACCTCTATATGTGGGTGAGTGTCTGTGCCGTGTTACCTTGATGGATCACTTCACCCCGCCACCGTTTCCCGCTGCTGTTTCCCTGGCAGTTGTCTGTGCAGCCACTTCTATGGGAGTTGTCTGTGCAGCCACTTTTATGGGAGTGTCTATGCAGCCACTTCTATGGGAGTTGTCTGTGCAGGTTGATGCTGCTGCCCTCTAAAGTAAGAAACGCTGATGGGGCAAGCTGCCACACTGTGCAGCCGCTTCTATGGGAGTTGTCTGTGCAGCCACTTCTATGGGAGTTGTCTGTGCACGTTGATGCTGCCGCCCTCTCAAGTAAGAAACGCTGATGGGGCAAGCTGCCACACTAAGAAATGGCAGCATCATCCAACTGAGTGGTTCCATCCATCGGGGCTCAAATTCAAGTCTGTTTATCAACAGTTTCCTAGGCATACCGTTCAGCCACATTGGCTGGCAGTTCACCCCGCTGTCATTTCCCTGTCAGGACTTTCGCCGCTGCTGGCCTTGTTTTGTCGGCCCCTGGATCATACGTTAGCTGTGATCAGGCTTATTTTTCCAAATATGTTTATTGTGTTTGGTATTTTTTCCCACATTTATATTTTTTCTTTGTTAGTTCCCTCCTGCCACGTCTCCTCCCCCCCCCCCCCCGCCCCCCCCCCTTTTGCACAGGGGCCATGCTAATCTTCTCTGTAGCATTCTGATTTTAACAGGTGTCCCGAAGGACTATTAGGTTTGCTTTAGTTTTCAAACTGCAGTCCCTTTTGGTTCCCCTCAGTGCCCCCCCGTGATTCCGCTCTATCCAAATTTCTTGATCTTGCTGTCCGACCCAGCCATCAGATTCGGTCTGACAAGCGGCGAGTGAAGGACAGGCACCACAGTAGCGAAGGATCAACATCTCCAAGCGACAATCGCCACAAACTGCAAAAGAAGTATGTGTCAATTACATGGGGGCGATGACACGAAAAGCTATGATCACCAGTGCGCAAATGACAATCGGTTGGTCCGTAGGAGGCCAAAACCACCTGCTGCCCACTTGGCTATTAGTGTTGTATTGAAAAGAAAGGCCATGTGGCACTATCATTCTTTTGCATGAAAAAACGTTGGGGAGAATGTTCAGTGTGGCCGCTCCACCTTCACCTAACGAAAGGAAATATGTCATGTGAACACCACTCTGGGTCATAAGTTGGCCAGATGCAGCTGTCCATGATACTGGGTAACAGTCTTACAAGCTATTTTCTGCCGTTTCTGTAGAAACGCCCAGAATTCTGCTAGGGTGGCCCCAGTGAGAACACGTTAGGTTCAGAAAACAAAGTGTCATCCATGCCCCCTTCCTCTCTCAGGGCTATTTTTCTATTAACCTCCTCAGCATGGATTCGTTTGCCTAAGACAAGAATATCTGGGTGTTCACGGACAGAAAACTGCTAACCTTAGCTGCCCTGTCTGTGGATATCTTCCCGTCTTGGAGATCAGCCACAACATTCTTTACAGCATCACCCCTCTTGTGGTCATCTGTCGACAAAGAAGAAAGCCTGCGTTCAGAGGAGACATGCATCATATTCAGGCAATGTCCAACACACACATGTTAGCAGAAGGAATGTATACCTTTTCTTTAAACGAACATGAGAAGTCTTTGTATGTTCAGGTACACTTGAGTTGGAAACATACCTGCGCAATTACCATTGCAGTTTGCAATTTGAGAAGTCTGTATTTCCTGAGAAGACCTGTTTTTCCCCATTCTTTTTAAACAATGTATCGACTTTTATCATACATGCTGGAAACCGGGCCCAAAGTCCCCTACATAAGAACTCACTCCAGCTTCTGCAAGGAAAATGAGCAATGTGTTTGACAGCGACCAAATTGCAGCATTCCATGGAAATCCAGATAACTTGTGCATGAACTGAAAGCATATTGCACCACGAGATCCACAAAATAAGCAAGAGCAGAGCACCGAAGTCAATTGACAATGAAAGCCCTCTTCTCGCCTCCAACACCAATGTCCACAATGTCGCTCTCCTATATATGGCGCTCGCCGCTCGGCGCCCAGACTACTACCAGACAACACCTATCAACCTAGACCTCCACACTACAACAGGTCTTCATGACGTCCAGCAGCCCGATGATGAACGAACACTCTGACAGAGTGGCCTGCTCATTCCCACCAGGTAAGTGGCTCCTTGCACATACCCACTCCTCCTTTTCCTTCCTTAGTCCCCACGCCACAAGGACCTCCACCAGACCTCCTCCGGCTATGGAGGCTGCGGCTATGTCCGTTGTGCCCTTGAGCTGCGCCCTGGCAGCTTCTACCTCACGCCCTGCCAGCGCTCACGGCATTCTGCCCACTCTCCTCCAGCAAGCAAGCGCTCCAGCATCGCTGCCGCCATCCAGCCAGCCACAATGAATGAGAGTGAGTGAGCCTCACTCTCTTATATCCTATCTGGCTGGGCGAGGCCAGGCTTTGGAGGCTTGACCTCTGTCCCAGTAGCTGCGCCCAAGGGCCTTCCAGTATGTGCCTGGAGTTCAACTGTAAGTGCCCTGCACCTCAGCATCTTTGCAAGGCCCAGCATCTCCAACCAATCGGGCCTGCTGGTTGGTTGAAGATGCCGCACGACCAACCAACCCACAGGGCCCTATTCTGCTCACGCTGGCCTCAGAAAGGCCTCGTCAAGTTTCCAGAGGGCCCATTTTCACTTGGGGCAGGCGCAGACGATTACAAGCAGGCGCAGGCCCTTTCCAGCGGGCACATGCCCCTTTTTCTCTTAGGCCGAGGGCCTCATGCTTTGCGCTTCCTTTCCATATGGCTGAAGGACCCCGAGGCAGCGACATTGATTGCTTCCTTTCCTTGAAGGATTTACCACTTCTCTTCCCCTGCAACGATAAATATCCTTGTCGCGCCTCTCAGCCTCTGGGCTGCCTGAAATTCCTGTACTTCTAGAGCTACCCTAACCACCTTGCTCCTGATTGAGTCAGTGGCATTGATTACTCCCTTTGAAGGGAGGATTTACCACCCTTTTAACATTAAAACTGCTCCTACTACAAATCTATCGAGGCCCTTCACCATCTAGATACTCCACTTGTTCATTACTTCGTACTAAAATTGAGTCAGCGGCCTTCCCACTCTAATCAGCTAAGAGCAGAGTTTCCCTTACTATCTTTAAGCAAACAGCAGGTCTTGTGTGATGCTCCCACATGAGACCCGGCTCGCCAGTCTTGGGGAAAAAGGCTGGAGCCCAAGGCCGGTTCCAACTCACTCGGAGTTTCTGGAAACGTCCGGCATATGGAGGCCGGTGGAGAGGCGGAAACATCCAGCATCGGGAGGCCAGTGGAAAGTCGGACCCAAAGGCGTGTGAATCACCATCGGGAGGGCGGTGAGGTGGCGGGTGATGCTCCCACGTGAGACCCGACTCGCCAGTCTTGGGGAAAAAGGCCGGAGCCCGAGGCCGGTCCCAACTCACTCAGAGTTTCCGGAAACGTCCAGCATCGGGAGGCCGGTGGAGGGGCGGAAACATCCAGCATCGGGAGGCCAGTGGAAAGTCGGACCCAAAGGCGTGTGAATCACCATCTGGAGGGCGGTGAGGTGGCGGGCCTGCAGGCGCGTGAATGGGGACAACAACCAGCGATATTCGGACGTGTGCTATTGGGGGAGTAGACGCGCTATCCTATCACGGTTGCTGGAGATGCTATCTCACGTGGGGAAGGCGAGTCACAAAAGGCGAAGGACACGGAAGACGCGCAGACGGCGTTGTCGAAGAGGATCGAGCGGGAGGGGTAGACGAAATGAGGAGGGAGGAGAAGAGAGGAGGGGAACGCACGACACCGTGGAAGATGATCGAGCCGTAGCGACGGAGGAAAGGAGGAGGAAGGACAAGTGACGAGGGGAAGCCGATTGAGGGGGAGGGGCACAGGAAAGGAGGGAGGAGAAGAGACGAGGGTGACACAAAGGCGTGAAAAAAAATCGAGCGGGAGGGACAGGAAGAGAGGGAGGAGAAAAGAGGAGAGGAAACCAGGAGGGACGAGAAAGGCGGGGCCGTCGGCAGCGCATTCGCGAGGAAAGGAGGTGGGAGGAGAGGAGCATCCGGGGTCATGGAGCGACGGTGCGGCGCGAATGTGCACATGGAAGGGATATCAGGAAAAAGGGGGTTTGTACGACCCCCATGCAAGGATTCGTTTGCTGTCCTGCTTGCAGGGATTCGTTTGTTGTCTGCAGCGTGGCAGGTGGTTTACAATGCTGCGGCCAAGAACATGGATGCGAGCAAGGAGCGGGACGATGGCGGAGCCGGAAAAAAATGACAATGGCGGGATTAAGATGTCTGAGGTGGAAGAGGGCGGCAAGGTCGACGACGAGGAGGTGGAGAAGAGGGGCAAGGTCGACAACGAGGAGGAGCACATAGGGAAGAACGGAAGAGAGGAGGTGGGCTTTCTAAACGTGGCGCCATGTGCCACCCGTGAAGAGGGGTAAGAAGAGGATGAGTGGGAGCACTTGGACAAGGAGGACGATAAAGAGGTGGACATGGCGGGGGAGGAGGAAGAAGACGGAGGCAAGGACGTGGGAGGATGAGCATGAGGAGAGCAGGTGGGCTTTCTTGAATGTGGCGCTACCAGGTGCCTCATCAGAAAGTCCTCTCTCATTGTGGCCGCGTTTCTCTCTCTCTCTCTCTCTCTCTCTCTCTCTCTCTGAGCGCATGTGTGTGGTATGGAATACACATATAGCATGAGAAGGGATGCACATAAAAAATGACTCGATGTTTTCAATCCTCCAACGTTTTTAATTATAATTCATCTATGTCGCTACCTCTTCCCCTGCCATCTCCCCCCCCCCCTAGTGTGGCACATACAACGGATGGTTATTATAGCTCTATTTGTGGCAATCAGTCCGGATACAACGATAGTTACCGCACGCTCTATTCGGAGGAAAATGGTAGCGGCCATCTCAACCCATAAACACCGATTGCCTTCTCTTACGAGGTAAGTACGTCATCTTCTTCGTACTTTTTTCTTTTGGGAAAAATATAACCACCATCTATTTCTGGGGGGCAGCATGTCTCCATCTTGACCTCGACCACTTCCCCCCCTTCCCTCCCTGATCAGACGTGTCTCTCTCTCTCTCTCTCTCTCTCTCTCTCTCTCTCTCTCTCTCTCTCTCTCTCTCTCT